ATAGCTGAAACCTCCAGTTCAGGTCGAGTACTCTCATGGCTATCCAGAAAGGTTGACTGTAATATACTAGGTGTACCTTCTGCAGAAAAAGGGGTGAAGAAGAGGTTTTTCCTTTGGAATTCTGATTAATTAGGCCAAGGTAAGAAACCTATGTTTGACTAAATAATGGAACTGACTCGAAGAAAGTTGGGGGTCGTATTCCAGCAGTGGAATGATTCAAGTAGACATTGACACCCTGGTCTATCCCCATATTCTATCTCTCAGGCACACATATCCATTAGTATCTGATTTAAAAGGGATTAGACTATTTTAAAGCCTACTGCTATTAAAGTATAAATTTCAAGGAGGGACGGAAGCTCAGGTGAGAAGGGATTATATGTTTTCTATTAGCACCGTCCATTTAAAAAAATCCTGGAATTAAGCTTTAAAAGAAGTTCCATTGAAATGCTGACATAGAAAGGGTGATGTTTCAAGTAAGGATTGCAGAATTAGCATTCCCCTCTAAAAACCACCATATGTTGCAATGAAGTTTTAGATTAACTACTACTGCCCACAATCAAAACTGATCTAAATCCTAGAAGGCAAGTACTTCCTCAGAGAACTATGCTGAACTATTTTGGCATCTGACACCTCCAGGGGACTGCTGAGTATACATTCCATATACATGACAATAGTTCAAGTCGATCAATCTAATGAAATTCACAAAGACACTTTTAAGTCAGAGATGCATAACGTTTTGCACTAAGATAGCCACATTTGGCCATTACAAAGGTTACCAGCTCCAAGCTCCCAAAAAGTTAGTAAGACCAGGACCGTACCAATTTGATTTAGAATAATTGAAAAGTATATCATGGAAAATAATCTTTTTCCGATTCATTACACAATATGTTATAATTTGGCAGCAACTCCTAGGAACTTATATCTATGGGTGGAAGACCACAGGGTAACTAAATGTTCTTCAGATTGTTTTTCTGTAGCTACCTGGATTCTACAAAGTGCCTACTGTGGACATTTGGTAATAAATGCAGGGAAGACTTCTAGATTGTGTAAAGCAAAATCTTACCTATTGAGGTCTTGAATTTCTGAACAGACAGTCTCTTTGGAGAGCCAACATTTTCTAGACCTTTTGCAAAGGACAAATTTGAAGTACCCTGCCAGTTAAATGCATACATGTTGAAACTAAACAATTCAATCTTATTTGATTGCTAGTTTGGGGGTAAACAGTTATTTTTATATTTCAGGTGGTTATCAAAACAAATCCAAGTCTTGTACTACTATCCTAATCCTTTTATAATAGGAAATCATAATATGTAATTATATAATATAATTATAATAAGAAATAATAGGAAAATACATTGATATAGAGGGCCTTTTCCTGAGATAGTTTTCAGTCTGATGGGCTTAACTTTCCTTATCTTTTTGTTATAAGAAATGTAACAGTGATACAATTGCATTAATTCTTTGTATATATAAAACAAAACATTCCTCATAATTTTTTTGCATTCCTGAACAGTTTCCCCTAAATGTTGCCTCTTTGAAATAGTCATTTATTTTCTCTCTGTATTATTTATGAATTCTCTGACATTTTCTGTTGTATACAAATTAAAACATGAAACAGTTTGTTCCTGCAGGCTCACAGACACGACAATAAAAGATTTGCATTTGTTTACCCAGAAAACGATGATAAAACTGAAATTAAAATTAAAAAATAGCCCTTGAAACCTACAGAACATTAGTCAGATAAAAGCTCCCTTAAAATAAAGAAAGTAGCAACTTGAAATGTTCATTTTAAAAAATTAGAAGATAGGCCAGAAACCAAAGTACCGTATTTTCCGGCGTATAAGACGACTTTTTAACACATGAAAATCTTCTCAAAAGTCGGGGGTCGTCTTATACGCCAGGTTCTCCTGTAACCAGGCAGACCAGCCCAAAAGGCTCTGACGAGCCTTAAATGGCTCTGGCGATCCAAGCTCTGACGATCTGCTAATCAGGCAACTCAGCTGGGATCACCAGAGCCATGGAGAAGGAAAAAAGTTTTCCCCCTCCAGCTTGCTTACCTTAGCTGCTTGCCTTGCTTCACTTGCCTGAATCCATTCCATCAGCAAGCAACTCCCTGCCTGCAATCAAGCAGGCAGGGAGTTGTGGACTTCAACTCCCAGAATTCCTCAGCCAGCAAAACAAAGCTGGCTGAGGAATTCTGGGAGTTGAAGTCTACAAGTCTTAAAGTTGCCAAGGTTGGAGACCCCTGTTCTATTGGGTAAGTTTTTTTCCCCTTTGGGATCTTTAAAAAAAATAGTTAATTGGGGGTTTTTTTAGTTGTTCTTTTTTAGACCTAGACATTTAAAGTTTAGGAAGTTTTAAATTTAGCTTTCATATAAAAATAAAATAAAATAATATTTGTGCAGCTTTCTGAGATTTAGGGTGTTTCTGTAGTGTTTCACTCTAACTACACAAACACACAAAATCTCACAAAGCTGTATGTGGAATTTTGTGTGTGTAAAGTGTGAAAGTTGGGTTTTTCGGCTTTTTGTGGCTGTGTGAGGTTCCTGCTTGTTGCAGGGGCCATTTTGGGTCTAGCACAGCTGCTTTTACATTGTGGGTGAGCCAGTTGTGTTGTGTTGTGTGTGTGTAAAGTGTGAAAGTTGTTTTTTTGGGCTTTTTGTGGCTGTGTGAGGTTCCTGCTTGTTGTAGGGGCTATTTTGGGTCTAGCACAGCTGCTTTTACATTGTGAGTGAGCCTGTTGTTGTGTGTGTGTAAAGTGTGAAAGTTGTTTTTTTGGGCTTTTTGTGGCTGTGTGAGGTTCCTACTTGTTGCAGGGGTCATTTTGGGTCTAGCACAGCTGCTTTTACATTGTGGGTGAGCCAGTTGTGTTGTGTTGTGTGTGTGTAAAGTGTGAAAGTTGTTTTTTTGGGCTTTTTGTGGCTGTGTGAGGTTCCTGCTTGTTGTAGGGGCTATTTTGGGTCTAGCACAGCTGCTTTTACATTGTGAGTGAGCCTGTTGTTGTGTGTGTGTAAGTGTGAAAGTTGTTTTTTTGGGCTTTTTGTGGCTGTGTGAGGTTCCTACTTGTTGCAGGGGTCATTTTGGGTCTAGCACAGCTGCTTTTACATTGTGGGTGAGCCAGTTGTGTTGTGTTGTGTGTGTGTAAAGTGTGAAAGTTGTTTTTTTGGGGGGGCTTTTTGTGGCTGTGTGAGGTTCCTGCTTGTTTCAGGGGCCATTTTGGGTCTAGCTCAGCTGCTTTTACATTGTGGGTGAGCCAGTTGATGTTTTTTAATTTTTATTTGGTGTGCGTTGGAAAAGGGGTAGTCCTATATGGCGAGTATAGCCCAAACCCTATATTTTAACAGGAAAATTCAGGGGTCGTCTTATACGCCCAGTTGTCTTATACGCTGGAAAATACGGTAACTCTCCTCCTAGACCAGGGCTGTCAAACATGCAGCCCGTGGGCCGGATGCATCACGCACTGGCCATGCTCATGCCAGTTTAGCAAAGGGGGAAAAAGTTGCGATACGTCACGTGATGCCATTACGACACAAGTTTGATACTCCTGTCCTATACTGTAGTACCAGAAAGCCATAAAACAGGATTTTTCATGCCAGCTGGAGAATTTGGGGTGTTGAAGTCCACATATCTCAAAGTTGCCAAGTTTTTAAAAATCACTGCTATAGTCTACGGAGATTCTCAATCATCCACATCATGGTTGTCCCAAAGATGCTTTTTTTCAAGAGGCAACTGGACTTTCTGGTTGTTGTTTTTTTCTTGACATAGAGAAAACTCCAGCCTTAGTGACTGGCTAAAAGAATGCAAATGACCAGCTGTCTGCAAGAAGTATAAATCCTTCCATTCCCCACCATCCAGTCAGAGCTGAAGAAGCTTCTTGGATAAGAAGTGAAACCTCTTCAAAGAAAAACAAGAAAGTCCAGTTGCCTCTTGAAAAAAAAGCACCTTTGCTATGGAGCCCTGATGGCGAACCTATGGCACACGTGCCAGAGATGGCCCGCAGAGCTCTCTTTGTGGGCAGGCGCACCACTGCCAGCTGCTCTTCCGGGTTCCGTCATGCACATGCGCACAAGCCAGCTGGTCTGTGTGCCAGAATCCGGAAGAGAGCAGCTGGCTGGCGCGGATGCGCACGATGCAACCCGGAAGAACAGCTAGCCGCCACGCGCATGCACACTGGCCAGTGCTCTCTTCCTGGTTCTGGCGCTCCGGCACATGCACATGCTCCTGTTTCGGCACTCGGTGCCAAAAAGTTTAGCCATCAGTGCTACAGAGGATATGTTTCTAATGCAGACTCACCTTTCCACCTGTTTTTTTATCATACTGCAGGTAACGAGATGGCACAATTCTTCCCCCTGGCAGAAGAAAAAAGTGGAAAGAGAACCCATGAGACAAATGTTGCATTTGTACCATTACTATCCATGAGAAAAGAAACTTTTCCAGAGACTTTGAAACTCCTTATGGGAACAATGTTGAGACCAAGCACTCGACTCCACAGAACGACTCCTGTGCAAAGCTCCGATATTAAATCTCCGACAGCTTCGTGCAGCGGATCGGCTGCTGGTTACGGACCATGAAATCTACTCTCCAAATGCCATTACTCACCTCTCTGTTTCGGCCGGGCACCCGTCTCCATCTCAGTCGTTCCAGGCTCCCTAGAAAGACAAATGAACTCGGGTGACAGGGAAATCAAAACCCAAACCATCCACCGCTGCCATCCAGCCTTCTCTCCGCTCTCTTACCTGCCGAGCGGCGCCTTTCCCGCCATTTCCGTCGAACAAACGCGCGGCTTTCCCCACCCATCAAAACAAATAAGCCTCAGCGCATGCGCCCTGGAGCCCAGTTGGAAGGGATCGCCTGAGCCACCCGAAAAGCGGAAGCAGGGAAACTAGAGCGTCCCACTTTCAGGGAGGGCCTCGGGTTCATTCATTTCTCTTGTCACTTCATTTCGCAGCGGAAAATCCTCACTTCCGGCTTACTCAATTTATCGGTCGGTCGGCCAGGCTTGACGCATGCGCAGAGCACTGCTCTGTTTTTTATTAACTTTTCCATTTATTTTCCAAAGGCGAGCAGGCGGAAAATAACCCGGTTAGCGGTTAACTTATTATTAAACCCATTCTGGTTGCCTCTCCACCCGCGGGGATCGAACCTACTTCCGCTCTAGTAGCTGTAATAGACGGGCAGTTCGTACATGTGACTCGCTCTTGCTTCACACCAGCCGGTTTCGTTCGCCTCTTTCCTTCGCTCTTGGCTCTTCCTCTGTTGCAAAGAAGCGCAACCCTCTTCTAATCGGTGAGCAGCCCCGACAAAGGATAAGTTTTTGGGACAAGGGTTGAATCGAGATCTCCTTGCACTTCTCTCCCTTTGGTGAGGAGCCGTAGGGTGCCCGGAGCTCAGTCTCGGGACGTTTGGGCAAAGTCCGAATTAGTTCCAGAAAGTGGAGAGGGGTTGTGGCTGGCCACTTGTAGGTTCTTCTTTCCCCCCCCCCGTTAAATATTTTTTATTGTTTTATATCACATGTTACATTTCTATGTTGAACAGTGTTTTTTCTAGATGTCCAGTGTTAACATATAAACATCATAATTATTATAATCATATACATATACATATACATATACATACATATACATATACATATACATATACATATACATATACATATATATATATATATATATATATATATAAACATATATGCGATAATAGAATAGAATATAATTTTTTATTGGCCAAGTGTGATTGGACACACAAAGAATTTGTCTTGGTGCATATAGTCTCAGTATACATAAAAGAAAAGATACTTTCAGCAAAAATCATAAGGTACAACATTTAATGATAGTCATAGGGTACAAATAAGCAATCAGGAAACAGTATCAATATAAATCTTAAGGATACAAGGAACAAAGTTACAGTCATACAGTCATAAGTGGAAGGAGAGTGGTGGTGGGTGGGTAATATCAATCATTATTGAAAAGTATACTACCTTCCATTATAGTATCAATTATATACCTATCAAAATATTTACTCATCAGTTTTTCTTTCTCATGTAGTCCATATTTCACATAAATCCACTCCTATAACCTCAGTATCTGTCAATTAGCCATTTATAGAATAGTTCCCATGTTATAAAATATCCTGAGTCTTCTTTTCCTTTGATTTTTAGGGTTAACCTATCCATTTCTGCACATTCCAGAATTTTCTTCTTCTTCATAGGTGCATGTTTCCTCTCGCGCAGTAGAAAAAAAGTTGTCCCTTTGGGCATGAGCAGAGGGCACCTGGATGCTTGTGTCCCAAAATATACAATGAGGGCCTTGTTCACAAAACTGTGGTGCCTTCCTAGTTATTGTCTATTGCAGTGTTTTTTAAACTTATTTCTCTCAAAGCCCCTTTCCTCTTTTTAAAAATTACAGAGAATCCCCAAAGGGCTTTTGTTTCTATTGATCAATGTTTGTCATATCAGGGAGAGATGGGTGGGAAACAAATTTAATATATTAAAATTTAAAATGGATGCACTGGCTGTCATGATTGCTTCTCTTTCATTTGATGGGATTTTAATAATGTAATTTTTCAACCTAGCTGGCAAATAATTTTGATTTTAAGGACCCTGAAAGGGCCTTGGGGATTCTCAGGGGTCCTAGGAGTACACTTTAAGAAATGTTGGTCTATTGGAATTTATAATCTCCTGTAATGATTTAACAAGTGCTTCAAAATCTGAAACAGTGTCCAGGAAGGTCTATACATTATAACAAGATTAAATTGCTGACATTGTATAAAAAAGAACACCGCTTAAGGGGGGCCAAAAGCCCTACTAAGCAGTATATACAAAAAGTATGAAGGCTATTGCTTAACGCATTGTAAGCCGCCCTGAGTCTCCGGAAAAGGGCGGCATATAAATCGAACCAATAAATAAATTGCAATAGCATAGCTGAATTTGAAAAGTTCTGTATGTTTGGAGATTGGAAAGCATGAGGTAAATCCTTCCCTTGCTGTACAGCAAGTGGGGACTCTGGAGATGTTGCTCCTCCTAGCACTCCCCAGAGGGAAAACTCTATGCATTGGTTTTACCTAAATTGTCTACAGGTGTCAATAGGTAATCCTTGATTAGCAACCACAATTAGGATTGACAATTCGATCGCTGAGTCAAACCACAACTGTGCATATGATCTTACTTCAACTTCCCTTTGCTTTAGAATAGAATAGAATAGAATAGAATAGAATAGAATAGAATAGAATAGAATAGAATAGAATAGAATTTTTTATTGGCCAAGTGTGATTGGATACGCAAGGAATTTGTCTTGGTGAATACGCTCTCAGTGTACATAAAAGAAAAGATACGTTCATCAAGAATCATAAGGTACAGCACTTAATGATAGTCATAGGGTACAAATAAGCAATCAAATCATATTAGGAAACAGTCAATATAAATTGTAAAGATATAAGCAACAAAGTTACAGTCATACAGTCATTAGTGGAAGGAGATGGGTGATAGGAACAATGAGAAGATTAATAGTAGACCCTGTGAGGGTCATAAATGTGAAGGCTGATCACCAAGTTACTTTTTTTTCACTGGTAACTCTGAACAGTTGCTAAATGAGGACTATTTAGTGGCTTTAATCTTCTAATTTTCAGGGAACCCACTCTTAATCCTTTCATTCAGAACAAATCCTTTGGGGGACTTAATTCAGGAGAAGATATATAGAATTACTTAAAATGTGGAGTGAATGGATAACAGACACAAATGTGCTTGGCCCTCCGAAACATGCTTTTTTTTTTCATTTTGCTGCAGTTCCCTTTCACCTCATTCTTGGTACTAGGAGAACAGCCATGCTTGCTCAGGGCAGAAAAATTTTCTCTGGACTTTCTGTCTACTGGAAGCCTCTCTTCAAAGGCCGCCTCCTGCTCGTAACCAACACGGTCAGCTGTGGTGGACTTCTAGCTGCAGGAGACGCACTTCGCCAATCCTGGGAGATAAAGAAGGACTCTAAACGGAAATGGGATCGTGTCCGGACAGGTCAGTTTATGTCATGTTAGCTGCTGGTTTTACCTTTAAAATACTTCCTGGGTTGACATTGAGATATCTCTAGGATCACTCAGTTTCAATCTGCTTGAATGAAGAGCTCTCCAGCAAAATCTCTTACTAAACCCCATTTCCAGTAAATCAGGAGGATGAAGGCCTCAAATGTTTTTTTGTAGTACCCTGTTTCCCCGAAAATAAGACATCCCCTGATAATAAGCCCAGTTGGGCTTTTGAGCACATGCGCTAAACTAAGCCTGCCCCCGAAAATAAGCCCTCCCTGAAAATATTTAAACGCAGAGCTGGAAATAAGGTAAGATGGGAAGAGGAGACCCAACTTGCTCCATGTGCCCCAAAATAATAAGACCTCCCCAAAAATAAGACCAAGCGCATATTTCGGGGTTCAAAAAAATATAAGTCAGGGTCTTATTTTCGGGGAAACACGGTAGCAGTACCGACATGGAACTTTCTGTCCCCTGACATCCGCTGAATGCCTACCTTGCTTGGTTTCAGGACATTTTTATTTATTCATTCAATTAAGAAGTATCAGACAAGAAAATATCAAATAGCTTATGAATGACTGTTAGTATTAGAAGTATTTGGTTATCGATAGTGGAGTTAAGGTTTCAGTGGGGGAGGTAGTACTTTGAGGATAAGTAGATTAATCTAGTTTATGTCTGACTAAATGAAATACCTTGTATTTTGCTCTGGGAAGTCGGGGGGGAGGGTGGGATGAAGGGGGGTAAAGGGTAGGGGGAACGGGGGAAAATTTTTTTCTTTTTTGTAAAACTTTTCAATAAAAAAAAAAAAAAGGGATTAAAAGTAAAGATAAAGGTTCCCCTCGCACATATCTGCTAGTCATTCCTGACTCTAGGGGGCAGTGTTCATCTCCATTTCAAAGCCGAAGAGCCAGCGCTGTCCGAAGACGTCTCCATGGTCATATGGCCGGCATGACTAAATGCCAAAGATGCACGGTGGTCCCTGTTTTCCTACTTGCATTTTTTATGTGCTTTTTGAATTGCTAGGTTGGCAGAAGCTGGGACAAGTAACGGGAGCTAATTAAGGGATACAGGGTCGTAAAAAGGGAGATTCTATTCAATTTGTGTTGGCACTTGTCTTACATGTATGACTCTGGGTGACTCACATAATTAAAAGCAATTCCTGCAAACAATAAATAGAATACAAATTAAATGAGAACAAATTTTTAAAAACTGAATTAAAAGCCATAAACAGCAGGAAACTACAAGTCATATGTCAGTCAACGCAAACATTTCAGCAGGCTTCACACCATAACTGGATCCCCCAAGCACAAGAGCAACATCTGTCTTCAGAGTCCTCCAAAAGACAAGTAGGATTGGGGCCGGTCTAGCCTCCATGGTGGGGGGATGATGCTCCAAAGGGCATGGCAGAAAAGGCTCTCTTCCTGAGTCCCACCAAATGACATGCCTTAATATATAGGACCTATAATATACCTCTTCTGCTGAATCTGATGGGACGAGCAGATGTAATTGTTTGAGATGGCCTTTGAGTTATAGATGCAATCTTCTGTTTCTATTGCTTTTTGATTGATTGTTTTATTATTTTATCCATACTGCAGTTATTTACTATGCTGTAAACTTATTTATACCATGGATGGTTTATTGTTGAAACTATAACTGGCTGAGTCTGGTTCAGTATATAAAAAGCAGAATAAATAAAGTGATTCTTCTAATTGTTGGAGAGTTGGTCCAAAAAAAAAAAAAAAGGATCTTCCATTTGGGATGGACATGGAATAAAGTTATATTCTTTTGGTGTAAAATTTACCATTACTAAATAATGAATTTAATTCTTTTCAAATTAGGCTGGTTTTTTTTTTTATTTACAGGACTGAATCTCAAGCAATCCTGTAAGAAACTTCTTATCTACTTAATTTTAGCTGCTAAAATTATAATTGCCCAATAGATAACATAATAAATGAGTTGTGGATTAATAAGGCCTCTTCAGTTTGCTACATTAGGAAAAAATATCACAGAGTTAAAATAATTAAACATTGGAGGCAGGATTCACTATTCAAATTTGGATGGTTAAAAATTTATATAGTTTTATAGTAAATAGCTATAAAAGTTTTATAGTAAATAGCTATAAACTAAACCATGGCAATATGTTAGATATATAGTAAATTTGTAAATACAGATAGTCCTTGACTTACAACAGTTCATTTAGTGACTGTTCAAAGTTACAACAGCACTGAAAAAAGTGACTTGGGACCATTTTTCACAGTTACAACTTTTGCAGCATCCACGTGATCAAAATTTGGACACTTGACAACTGGTTCATATTTATGACGGATGCAGTGTCCCTGTGTCATGTGATCACTCTTTGCGACCTTCTGACAAGCAAAGTCAATGGGGAATCCAGATTCACTTAACACCCAGTTACTGGGTGTTACTAACTTATCAATTGCAGTCATTCACTTAACAACTGAAGCAAGAAAGGTCGTAAAATGGGGCAAAACTCACTTAAATGCCTCACTTAACAATAGAGATTTTGGGCGCAATTGTAGTTGTACTGTCTCTAATGGGTAGTCCTTGGCTTATGACCACAGTTGAGCCCAACACCTCCATTGCTAAGCAAGACAGTTGTTAAGTAAGCCGAATCTCATTTTACAACATTTTTTGCCATGATTGTTAAGAAAATCATAGCAGTTGTTAAGTGAATCGTATGATCATTATGTGAATCAACCTTCCCACAATGAGTTTGCTTGTCAGAAGCTGGCTGGGAAGGTCACAAATGATGATCACATAACCCTGTGACAGTACAAAGAGTGCAGAGAAGAGCAACAAAGATGATTAGGGGACTGGAGGCTAAAACATATGAAGAACGATTGCAGGAACTGGATATGTCTAGTTTAATGAAAAGAAGGACTAGGGGAGACATGATAGCAGTGTTACAATATCTCAGGGGCTGCCACAAAGAAGAGGGAGTTAAACTATTCTCCAAAGCACCTGAGGGCAGGACAAGAAGCAATGGGTGGAAACTAATCAAGGAGAGAAGCAACTTAGAACTAAGGAGAAATTTCCTGACAGTTAGAACAATTAATCAGTGGAACGACTTGCCTCCAGAAGTTGTGAATGCCCCAACACTGGAAATTTTTAAGAAGATGTTGGATAACCATTTGTCTGAAGTGGTGTCGGGTTTCCTGCCTGGGCAAGGGGTTGGACTAGAAGACCTCCAATGTCCCTTCCAACTCTGTTATTCTATTCTGTTCTATAACTATCATAAATATATATCAATTGCCAAGCACCCAAATTTTGATCTTGGCCATCGGGCTACTGCAATGGGGATAAGTGTGAAAACCAGTATAAGTCACTGTTTTCAGTGCCATTGTAACTTCGAATGGTCACTAAACGAATGATTGTAAATCGAGGATTACTTATACTTTGTAGTAGATTTTTAAAACATTTTCTCTTATTTATGCATCATGGATTTTTGTTATTTGATGATGAATCTCTTACGTTTTGCTAACGGAGTAAATTTCCTCCTTCAGCACGAATGTTCACCATCGGCTGCACTATGGGCCCAATGATGCACTACTGGTACCTGTGGCTAGACAGGGCCTTCCCTGCTGCTGGCTTCAGCGGCATCAGGACCGTCCTGAAAAAAGTTTTCATTGATCAGATCGCTGCCTCCCCAGTCTTCGGGGTTTGGTATTTCATAGGTAAGACTAAATTCCTGAAGCTGCAAGACAATTTCTATTCTTTTGAGGGCAAAAATGAATGGGAAAATACATGGGCTTTTGCTACAGATCTTGTGTGGGGGTAGCAGAAGCAGAGGGTGTGGCATTTCTGTTGTCCCTTCTGTGCTTGGCTTCCTCTGAAAAATATACAGTTCCTTTAGTTCCCAGTAGCCAAAGAACATCCCCCATATTGCCATCTGCCTTGTTATTATCTGCAGGGCTTGGATCTTTAGAAGGACAGACTCTGGAGCAAAGCTGGCATGAATTGGAGGAGAACTTTTGGGAATTCTACAAGGTAAACTTAATTTTTGTCCCCTACTTTCTGACCCAGAGTTTGTAGATGGAATTAACTAACTTAGTCTTTTTCTGTTTGCAGATGGACTGGTGTGTGTGGCCACCAACACAGCTGATCAACTTTCTGTTCCTGCCACCCACGTATCGAGTGATTTACATGAATGTCATCACTCTAGGATGGGACACTTACCTATCATACCTTAAACATCGTGTGAGTAGGAGTCCCTAAAATAATTGGCGTCAGAAGTACAGGCAGTCCTCAACTTGCAACAGTTGATTTAGTGACCATTCAAAGTTACAATGGCACTTTAAAAAGTGACTTATAACCATTGCAGCATCCCCATGGTCACGTGATCAAAATTCAGACACTTGGCAATTGACTCATATTTATGACGGTTACACTATCCTGAGCTCATGTGATCATTTTGCGACCTTCTGGCAAGTAGAGTCAATGGTGGATCCAGATTCACGTAATAACCATGTTACCAACTTAACAACTGCAATGTGGTGAGAAAGATTGTAAAATGGGGCAAAATTCACTTAACAAATGTCCCACTTAGCAGCAGAAATTGTGGTTGTTAAGTCGAGGACCATCTATAATTCAGATTAAAACAGAGGGTGGAAATGAATGTAAAGTTGTGATGAGTAAGCCCTTTTCTCTAGCCTTTTTTTACCATAGCTGGTAACAAGTCAATCTGAGCCTCTCTGTATTCAGATCCTACTATTAAGCAGCATCCTCAAAAGGAATAGGTATCACTGGTTATGTTAGGAAGGCCTGTTAATTGGGCACCATTGGTCTTCCTCTGATAATCTCTGAAAAGATACCAGTAACATTTTCCTCTCTACCCCCATTTTAATGGCTTGTTTTGTTTGGCTTAGAATGTTGTGTAAACAACTACAGATAGTCCTTGACTTATCACAGTTGGGACCAGAATTTCCATTGCTAAATAAGGCAGTTGCTCAGGGAGTCACATGCAATTCTGTGATGGTTGTTTTTTTTCTTTTCTTTAATTTATATGCCGCCCTTCTCTGGAGACTCAGGGCGCTTACAATGCATTAAGCAATAGCCTTCATACTTTTGTATATTTATACAAAGTCAGCTTATTGCCCCCACAATCTGGGTCCTCATTTCACCTACCTTTGAAAGGATGGAAGGCTGAGTCAACCTTGAGCCTGGTGAGATTTGAACTTCAAGTAATTGCAAGCAGCAGATATTAATAACAGTGCTTTAGTCCACTGTACTACAGGCTCTTTGTTAAGCGAATCACTGTACTACAGGCTCTTTGTTAAGCGAATTATGCCATTGTTAAGTAAAATCATGCAGTTATTAAGAGAATTTGGCTTCCCCCATTGAGTTTGCTTGCTGGAAACTTGCTGGGAGGGGCATAAATGGCAATTGCATGACTTCAGGACATTGCAACTGTCATAAATATATGCCCAAATTTCAATCATGTGATCAGGGGATGCTACAATGATGGTAAGTGTGGGAACCAGTTATAAGGCACTTTTTTCCGTGCCGTTGTAACTTAGAATAGTTGGTAAACAAATGGTTGTAAGTCAAGAATTACCTCTATGGAGCTTGTTTTTAATTAAAAACATGATTTCTAGCTTCATCTGATAATGTTTTTAGCCAGTAATGATTTATTCAACAAACTAAGATTTAACTAAGTGGCTTTTGTGAACCCATTCCCTGGTAATGATTCCTGGACTATTCAGTAGTTTTCTCTGAATGACTTGTTCATAGATTGAATTTCAGAAGTCAAAAATGGGGAAAAAAACAAACCCAAGTGGCTTGATAAACTTCAAGTTTACAAAGCTAAATGTATGTTAATTTTTGTTTTGTTTTGTTTTGTTTAGAATAAAAAGCCAGTGCTCAGCCAGGACGAAGACTCTAAACCTTGCACTTCTGAGATCCAGACTACTGGGTGAAAAGTGTGAATAACCAAACTACTTTTTAAAAACTCGAAGCAATCTAGCATCTTTTTTTTTTTTGGAAAAATACTATTTGAATTCTTCTATGTGGGAAATGGTGCCTGAATGAGTCTGTTTTCTGCAAGCAATTCTGATTTTCCTTGTCAAAAACTCAGTAACAGGAACGAGACTGAAGGCTCAAAGCACTTTTCCTTTGACAGCCTGAAGCAGCAACCAACATCCAGGAAGCAGAAGTGCTGCCCCTTAAAAGTGCCAAATTATAGATTTTTCTAATTTATTTATTTATTAATTTTGTATCGCCTCAATCTTATGATTTTGAATGGTGTGCAAGAATCCCAACAGTGATCTTAAAATCAATCGTGTCGACAAAAACAGAGACAAAGAAAATATGCCCATCTTCCTTCTCCGCTAAGTTTCAGAGGAATCAGGAAAGTTTTCCAGAGCTTCCTAAAAGCCAAGAATGAAGCATCAAGTGTATTTCCAGGGAAGGTTTATTCCATAGAGCAGCGTTTCTCATGCTCAACAGCATTAAGATGAGTGGACTTCGACTCCTAGAATTCCCCAGCCAGCAATGAGATGTGGCCATATTTGAGAAACGTTGATTGTCTTCGGATGGTTCAAATTAGCAACTCAGTTCATTCTTTGGAGGATGAATACATCTATTTTGGAAATAATAACTATTTAGATAACAGGAGAGTCAGACAAGCTAAGAAATGGAGAAGTAAATAAAAGCGGGAAATTCCTTTTGGTACCTGGAAACCAGTAGTGAAATATAAAATTTGTTACTACCGGTTCTGTGGGTGTGGCTTGGTGGGGGGGGGTGTAATGTGACTGGGTGGGCATGGGCAACTTTTTTTTTTTTTTTTACTTTTAAAAGCATTTTTTCTACAACGTCTTCAGCCAAAGAGGTTGATTAAAAAATAATTTTAAAAGGCTCTGACGATCCCAGCTGAGCCGCGCGATCATCAGAGGCTTTTTTACTTTCAAAAGCATATTTTCAGCCGAAGAAAAGATACTTTTAAAAGTAAAAAAAAAAAGCCTCTGATGATTGCGCGGCTCAGGTGGGCATGGGGGGGGGGGCAAGGATTTTTGCTACCAGTTCTCCGAACCACCTGCCGCCATTGCTACGGGATCAAGTGATCCGGTCCAAACCGGGAGCATTTCACCCCTGCTGTAAACTCACAGCATCCTTTACAGAACATGTTGCCAGAGGGGATGGATTTGGGCAGCCTATACATTTAATGAATATATCTTTAAAAAATAACAAACAAGCTTGAGAGCAACTTCATCCCACGATTGTGTTGGAAGATTAAATATGGGGAACTAGATTGTGTCCTTATTGTTATGCTCACAAGCAGTGCCGCAGAAGATAGAATAAAAAAAGGCCTTAAAACCAAGAATGAGTGACCAAATGACTCTAAAGCATGGGAATTTTTCAATTCCCTATTTTTTCCTTCAGTGGATTAGAGAAATATATCAGGGAAATGTTTGCTTATGATATATCCAGACTTTTATTGAACTTATTCTTCATCTTATCTCCTATATTTGCTGCATAGGTAGATCAAACTGCCAGGGGTGATTGTGCGGGACATTACGGTTGCAGTAAATACGATGATATCTATGGAGATTCTCAATCATGTCAAAAGTGCGTTTTCCAAATGGCAACTGGACTTTCTTGGTGTTTTTTTTTTTTTAAACATTTCGCTTCTCATCCAAGAATGAAGTAGCTTCTCGGATGAGAAGTGAAATGTTTTCAAAGTACTAAAACCAAGGAAGTCCAGTTGCCTTTTGGAAAAAGCTCCTTTGGGATAAATATGCTGATGTTACCTAGTTCTCTATATCTTGCCACTCAACATCAGAGAAATAGCACGGACCCATGAAAATGGCAGGATCCTTGGTGCTCTCTGACTTTGGTGGTTTTCATCAGTGGCCTGACGATGTTATCTAATTTGGTAATGAAATGTCTGCAAGAAAACCAAGTTCAAAGAGCATCAATGACTCGGCAGTTTAACCCTGAACTACAAATATTCTCTTCTATCGGTACACTTGAAGATTGCTTACTCAGTAATCGGCTGGATGAGGGAGAATATATTGAAATGATATGCAGAGAAGATGGGTGTGCTATGGGTCACTGTTACAGTGACCCATACTGTTACAGTATTGTGATTTGGACTGGGCTAGATGGTGCTGCACTCCTTCCTAAAACAGCAGGTCCATAGATTATGTGTGATCCCCAGGAAATTGTCCAGAGAAATCAATGGTAAAAGATGCATTTCCACAATCATGCTAAGCGTATCAGTTGCAATTGTTTGTTGGCCAGCTGGATTGGGCTACAGTCATCCACATTTTTGTTGTATTTCATCTGATGTACAGGTAGTCCTCAACTTACAACCATTCATTTAGTGACTGTTCCAAGTTATAACGGCATTGAAAAAAGCGACTTGATGTTTTTCACATTCACGATCACTGCAGCATCCCCATGTCATGTGATCAAAATTCAGATGCTTGGCAACTGACTCATATTTTTGAGATTTGCAGCGTCCCAGGTGTGTGTGTGTGTGTGTGTGTGTGTGTGTGTGTGTGTGTGTCAGGTGATCCTCTTTTCTGACCTTCTGACAAACAAAGTCAACGGGGAAGCCAGATTCACTTAACAACCGTGTTACTATTTTAAGAACTGCAGCAATTTACTTAACCGTTAAGTGAGCATGGGGCAAAATTCACTTAACTGTCTTGCTTAGCAGTGGAACTTCTAGTCTCCGTTATGGTGGCAAGTCGAGGACTATCTGTATTTAGAGGCTACCTGAAAAAGTTCATAAGATTTTAAAGGTGATTTTGTAAATAGCCACCTGCAAGATTCTCTGCTATCAATGAACAGAAAGTCTCTAATGTATTTGGGAATAAATGTTTTCTAAATCAGAAAGTTTGATTGCTGATATTATTGTACCTGTCTCTTTCCTCTCAATAAATCTTATTAAAGACTGTCACCATCTTACCCGAAATGATTATTTTTGGTTGAGGCAACCTGCCACAAGGATACTTCTAAAGTCTCAATATTTCCACTCCCCGATTTCTCTAAAGCAGTTTAAAACAAACCTGCAATTTCCTTTGACAACCAGTCAAAACTGTAGGAAATATGTGCACGTATCATAAATCAATCCAGTACTTCCACCTTACCCATAATTTTGTTCTGTCAAACAGTCACTGCCAGCTCATGATGGATATCATTTTAGCAGTAACTGAATATCCAATGGTATCGTAAGCACAAATAATTGTGTTTGCCTTCTGTGCTCTTCCCAAATAGCTTGTTGGATACATTCTGGATGGTGGGAATTGTGTTATCTTTCAGTAACTTGTCCCTCAGGGTTTTTGTTTTTTTTTTTGGCAGAACAGCAAAGTTGCTATTTTTTTTCCTCCAGTAATTTATAGTTGGTTGTGATTCTTCAATAACCTGCCCACTGGGCAACGTTTCTGGGCATGAACACACACCATGATATCACTAGGGTGTGCCAAGCCCCTCCTCCACAGGTAGCCCTTGACTTACAACCATAATTGTAATCGCTGGGAGGCGGAGCCAACCATCTGGTTCCGCCCCAGGCGCCTGATGGACCCTGAGAGGTTCCAGACAGAGTTTGGGATGATACCTCCCTCTCTCTCCCACCCCCCGGCCACGACCCTGGTGGATGCCTGGGATGAGGCTGCTGCCGGGGCTCTTGACCGGGTCGTTCCTTTGCGGCCTCTGACACGTCGCAGATCCCAGTTGGTGCCTTGGTTTACCGAGGTGCTCTGGGGGATGAAGCGACGTAGGCGAGGCCTAGAGAGCTGTTGGAGAGCCAGTCGTTCCAAATCTGACTGGTCCCAGTTAAGGTTGGCCACACGGGCCTACTTGGTGGAGTTGGTGACGGCAAATCGTCTCTACTTAGCCAATGTCATCGCATCTGCAGAGAATCACCTGGCTGCCCTGTTCAGGGTGTCCCGCTCCCTCCTGACTCAGAGGGTGAGGGAAGACCCTCTGTGGGGGTGAGCCAAGGAGTTTAGCCAGCACCTGTTGGACAAGGTTGCTCAGATTCGGGACAGTTTGGACTCTGACTGGACAGAGTCAGATGGTGATGAGGCAGTGGGTCCTGTGCTTTGGGAAGAGTTTGATTCTGTTACTCCTGAGGAAGTGGAAAGGATCATGGGGAAGCTGAGTGCGGCCACTTGTGTGCTGGACTCGTGCCCCTCCTGGCTGGTCTATTCAGCTTGGGAGGGGACATGCGGCTGGATCCAGGCGGTGATAACGGCTTCCTTGAGGGAGGGTAGTTTTCCGACCGCAGTGGTGAGGCCCCTCCTCAAGAAGCCGGCCTTGGATCCAGCTGTTTTGAGTCATTTTCGTCCAGTCTCCAACCTCCGCTTTCTAGCGAAGGTTGTTGAGAGTGTAATGGCGTGTCAACTCCCGCTGGCCCTGGATAAAGCAAATTACCTCGACCCGTACAAATCGGGTTTCAGGCCCGGGTACAGCACAGAGACGGCATTGGTCACGCTGGTGGATGATCTCTGGAGGGCTCGGGACAGAGGTTATTCCTCTGTTCTGGTCCTATTAGATCTTTCTGAGGCTTTTGATACCGTCGACCACAGTAACTTGCTGCGTCGCCTCGAGGGGTTGGGAGTGGGAGGCACCATTTTATGGTGGTTTTCCTCCTACCTCTCGGGTCGAATGCAAGCGGTGTTGGCAGGAGGGCAGAGATCGACCTGGAGGCCCCTCACTTGTGGGGTGCCCCAGGGGTCGGTTCTCTCACCCCTTCTGTTCAACATCTATATGAAACCGCTGGGAGAGATCATCCGTGGCTTTGGGGTGAGGTACCATCAATACGCTGATGACACTCAGCTTTTTATATCCACCCTGAACCAGCCCAGTGATGCCCTCGACGTGATGGCCCGGTGCCTGGACGCGGTACAGGTCTGGATGGGAAGGAACAGACTTTGACTCAACCCGGCCAAGACCGAGTGGCTGTGGGTACCGGCATCTCGGTCCATAGGAGAGGTTCCATCACTGTCTATAGGGGGGGAAGTTTTACCCCCTGTAGACAGGGCGCGCAACTTGGGTGTCCTCCTGGATTCACGGTTGAGTTTAGAAGATCATATAATGACCGTGACCAGGGGGGTATACGCCCAGATTCGTCTGGTACGCCAATTGCGCCCCTACTTGGACCGGGATGCCCTACGCACAGTTACTCATGCGCTAGTCACCTCCCGTATTGACTACTCTAACACTCTCTACATGGGGCTGCCCTTGAGGACCACTCGGAGGCTTCAGCTGGTGCAAAATGCAGCTGCGCGGGTTGTGATGGGAGAATCCCGATACTCCCATGTAACACCCCTCCTGCGCGACCTGCATTGGTTGCCGGTTGCCCTCTGGGTGAGATTCAAGGTGCTGGTGATTACCTATAAAGCTTAGGCCCAGGATATTTGGCGGACCACCTGCAGCCAGCAACAACATCCCATCGCCCGGTTCGCGCCCATAGGGAGGGTCTGCTCAGGATGCCGTCGGCGAGACAATGTCGGCTGGCGGCCCCCAGGGGTAGAGCCTTCTCTGTGGGCGCGCCCGCCCTCTGGAATCAACTCCCCTTGGGGCTTCGGCTGGCCCCTGACCTTTGCATCTTTCGCCACAAGTTAAGAACTTGGTTATTCGAGTCCCCCGGACTGGACTGTTTTTTACGGGTTTTTAATAGTATTTGATCTAATTAGGCATTTTAACTTTGCATGATGGATTATTGTGGTTTTATTGTTGTGAGCCGCCCTGAGTCTGTTGGAGATAGGGCAGCATATAAGCCTAATAAAATAAAATAAATAAATAAATAATTGAGCCCAGAATTATGGACATAAGTTGTGCTGGTCATTAAGGGAATCAGGACCAGGTCCAATTTTACAAACTTTTTTGCAGCATTTGTTAAGTAATCACTGATCATTAAGTGAGTCTATTGTCTACAATGGTTTTTTGCCAGAAACTGGAAGTAAAGACAAGTCTCTGGCAAGAAAGATTGTAAAGAGCAATCGTGAATGCTGCAAGCAGCCATAAATGTGGGCTAGTTGCCCAGGGCCCGAAGTGTGATTAAATGAGTGTGGAGAGAGGGGAAAGAGAAGTAGCTGTTGGAAGTTCGAATCAGGGTTGGAAGTAGGTGGGGCGGTCTGTGGTAACTTCAACCCGGTTGAAGATTACAGTACAGGTAGTAATCCAAGAAGGGTTGCAAATGATAGGAGTGCAAAAATAAATCAGAAATCTGCCCAAGAGCAACTGCAGATCCCAAAGAAAAATACAAGTTTCCTTCTCCAATTAAAGGAAAAATAAAATGCTCCAGTTCCTCCTACTTCATGCAAACAGCCTCTTTCTCTTTTCTCTTCCGTTGCTTGTATGCAAACACCAGGCTTTGAGAATCTCTCATCCACCCCAAAGTGGCTTGAAAGAGGATAGTTTACTGATTACAGATTAACAGAGTTGGAAGGGACCTTGTAGGTCATCTAGTCCAACCCCCCACCCACCCAAGCAGGAGACCCTACACCATTTCTGACAAATGGCAGTCCAGTCTCTTCTTGAAAGCTTCCAGTGATGAAGCTCCCACAACTTCGGAAGGCAAGCTGTTCCATTGGTTGATTGTTTTCACTGTCTGAAAATTTTCCCTTATTTTTAGTTTAATCTCTCCTTGTTCAGTTTCCAGCCATTCTTCCTCATCTGGCCTTCAGGTGCTTTGGAAAGTAGCTTGACGCCCTCCTTTCTGTGGCAGCCCCTCAAATATTGGAACACTGCTATCATGTCTCCCCTGGGCCTTCTCTTCACTAGACTAGCCATGCCCAGTTGTGTTCTGTCCCCAACCCCCCACACACACCCCAACAGACGTTCAGGAGTTAAAGACTAAACCAGCCGGCAAAATCCTTTTCCTTATGATAACGGAACTTGGCAACAACCTAGTGGCTGCCTGCCAAGAGTTTATTATTTACAAAGAGGAGAGATAACTTCTCCCCACTTCTGCTACATCAAAGGAAAGCAGCTCAATAATTACAATCAAGTCCAGAGATAATCCAGTCTTAAAGCAAAAGTCCAGCAATGCAGAATGCTGTGGAAGCTTTCAGCTTTGTTCGTCACAAGGTTTGACTGGCCATCACGCTCCCTTTTATATCCTGTGTGGTGTGGTCCAGTGACTCAGCCTAATCTCGGGCACGCCCTTTCTTCTGTTGCGTGCGCTTATCTCTGCGACGCTGGCGTGGGTCCAGCCAAAACTCATTACCCTCATCACTGTCCATCTGTTGCTGCGTGGACGTGCTTGGCCCTGGCCCTATCTCTTGCCCTTCGGCGGACACCGAAGGCATTGCCAGAGAGGAGGGTCCCGGAGAGGGAGGCCTTGCCAACTCCTCCCCTTCACTCTCGGAGTCCTCTCCTGACGATGACACAGGCTCCGGTAACGGAGCCACAAGTTCCTATAACGGTTCTTCATATGTTTTAGTCTCCAGTCCCCTAATCATCTTTGTTGCTCTTTTCTGCACTCTTTCTAGAGTCTCCACATCTTTTTTATAGTGTGGTGACCAAAACTGGATGCAGTATTCTAGGTGTGGTCTTACTAGGGCTTTATAGAGTGGTATTAGTACCTCACTTGATCTTGATTGTATCCCTCTGTTAATGCAGTTTAGGATTGCATTGGCTTTTTTGGCTGCCGCCACACAGTTGGCTCATATTTAATTGGTTGTACACTAAGACTCCAAGATCCCTCTCACAGTTAACTGCTATTAAGCCTGGTTTCATCCAGTCTATATGTGTACTTTTGGTTTTTGTTGCCTAAATGTAAGACTTTACTTTTCTCTACATTGAATTTCATTTTGTTAGATAGGGCCCGGTGTTCAAATCCATCATGATCCGTCCGGATCTTGAGCCTATCATCTGGGTGTTGGCTATTCCTGCCAGCTTAGAATCATCCACAAATTTGGTAAATTCCCCTTCTATTCCCTCATCTAAGTC